GTAGTAGTAGTAGTAGTAGTAGCTGTTGTAGTAGTAGTAGTAGTAGCAGCAGCAGCAGCAGTAGTAGTAGTAGTAGGAGTAGGAGTAGGAGTAGGAGTAGGAGTAGGAGTAGGAGTAGGAGTAGGAGTAGTGGTAGTAGCAGTAGTAGTAGTAGTAGTAGTAGTAGTACAATAAGCATGTAGCATGTAGTACGTTGTACTGCGCAGTACTACGTACTAGTAGTAGGTAGTACGTAGTACCTAGTAAGTAGCAGAATTATGTGAAAAGTGAGCTAGACCGGGGATGCTGCAGCTGGCATCCTAGGAGTGAAAAATAACAGAGACCATCGAACTCCTGCGGGCTTGAACGAGAGGCTGGATCGAATGAAGGACCGGTACAAACTGTTTGGACATGCTTCGTTACAGCATGTCAACATCGATGACCGAAGGAACAACGGAATCTCTGGCGGCGACACCGTCAAAAGAGTCCACCAGGGATCATGTTTTTCGCTTACTGAGGGTTGCATGGCGAATGGAACTGAAAGGTTTGGTTTGGTGTCCTCAGCTAAGGTATGGTTGTCGCATTGAGACAAATCGCACTTTTTGTATCACGTTGTGACTCTTGCTGGCTGTTCCTACCGTCGGGCGATCGAGCATGCAACGACTGAGGAATGCCATCGGACAGCTGCAGGGCAAGCTGCAGCGGCGTGTTCAGGGCCTGAAGCAGCTCGAAGGCTTGGTGGAAGCAGGAAGCAAGAAGGCGAAAACCGCGAAGGAGTCCGCTTTAAGACTGGCTTAACTGATTTTACACTTTGTGGCAGTGGCCGCCCTGTGCATTTGACCCAGGAGAAAGCGATTCTCCACGCTGAGGTGGAATTGCAGCAAAGCTTCCAATCAGAGCTGGCAGAGCTGCAGCCTGTCCAAATCACTGGCCTCATACTGCAGCTTGCAGCGTAGTTACTTGGGGACGGTGGTAAATCCTTGAAACGTTGTATAGCCGTCGGCAGCTAGGCCCTTCCTTCATTCAGCGTTCTCCTAGTCCTAAATTGGATTGTCATTCATTTCTCTCAGGGAGCTGATTTGTCACCAGCACGGAGCCGCTTCAGCAGCCTGGAAAGGCGGGTAGTTGCACATGTTGCACACCCATTTCCCGGTTTGCGAAAAGCTGCGCAGGCAAAACCGAGGAGGAAGCAGCCGTTGTCGTCCAGATGGTTGCCGAAGCCAGTGCCGCTTCAAACGCAGAGGCTGCTGCCGCCAGCGAGGCCCAGGCCGCCTTGGCTACAGCAGAGGCAACCTCTGCTGAAAGTGAGGCTATCAGTGGTGCTAACCTGACGGCACGACGTTTGCAATCGCTTTCCCAAACGCTCCAGGGACAGACAATCACTCGGCCTGGGCTCAAGAATCTGTCTGAGAAACTCGCGACGACATCAGAAGATCTCTCTCAGCAAGTTGAGGCTTGCATGGAAGCTCGGCAACGGTTCGGCAAGATTGAAGAGGAGGAAATCGAAGCCACGGAATTGGCCAAAACCTCAGAGGCCACAAGCCTCGAACTCCAGGAGCAAGTGAGATTGCTCGTCTTGGCTTCAAGTGCAGCCTGTGAGTTGAGAAATGCAGAAGCAAGCTTGGGCCAGGGAGAGGAGGAGTTAGAAAGGATCAGTGGGCAGCTGAATGTCAAAGCTGCAAGCTGTAAAGAGCTTTTTGAGCAAAGGTGTCTTGCCGAAAGCCGAGCAGAAGCGGAGGAGCTCTTGCTGAGCCAGCTTCAGTCAGAAAGTCAAGGGCTAGACTCGCGATTGCAAAGGGCGGAAGCCAGGCAACAAACCCAGGAGAGACGCTGCAGACAGGAAAGGGCAGAGTGGAAGCAACAGCTCCGACAACACCAGTTGCATGGCGTGAACGCGCGGAAGAGCATCGGAAACTTTGCCACAGAGCCGCTTGCAGTCGTCTATGAAGCGGTCCCGGACCACACCGCGCAAGAAGCATGGGAGTGCAATGGTTTGGTGCAAGAGAAGAATGCACTAGAAGAGCAAGCAAAAGAGTTGCAGATTCAGCTGGAAGCAACAAGGCGTCGACACCATACGTTGGTCAAGGAAAATGACACCGAAAGATACTTGGCAAAGCGTGGTGAGGAAGTCCTTGCCAAAGAGATTGCATCTGCAAGAGGTCGAGTGACCGCAATGTCGTATGAGCTCGACCGCCTGCTTCAAGTCACTGCTGGTCCAGATGCCAGCAACGATCGCATCTGCACGAGCTTTTCAGGTCAGGCCAATCGCGCGAGCGAGAGCGACACTGCCAAGCAGGCTTTTCGAGCTTTCAAGGGCCGATCCAAGAAGCTGCAGGCTTCATTGGCACAGGAACAAGAGCAAGGCCGGCAACTGCGAGATCGAGTTTCCCAGCTCAAGCATGTCAATGTTCAGCTTCGTGAGCGCATCCGGGATGCTGAGCAGAGATTACACGTGAGTCGTGATGACGTGGAGCGAAAGCGGGTGCTTGCTGCAACTTTGCAAAAGCGGCGTCAGGAGTCTGCCGAGCAGACTGCACTTGCAACGCAGCAAGAAGAGGAAAGCAGCAGATCACTCCAGCAACTTCGGAGTGATGCTGCGAGAAAGGATGCTGCCATCAAAAACTTGCAGAACGAGATAGCATCAGCCCAGCGAGAAACAAATCAAGCCAGTGGCAAAGATAGAGGTCAGCAAGAAGAAGCCCGATCCAAAATGCAGGTCGAGCTGCATCGCAAGGAGCAGCTACTGCACGACGCGCGTGCAAAGGCACAGCTTCTCAAGACCCGCTTGGATGCAGAGGTCCGGCGAGATGTTCGTGCTCGGCGTGTTGCCAGGAGCGTATCGAGCAGCCGTTTGGAACGAAGCCCAGAGACAGGAAGTGATGATTTGGCAGAGTCTCCTTTGCCACCATCGGGTGCTGAACGTGCAAGGGAACCCGTGTGCAGTCTGGAATGTCTTAGAAGCTCGGGTTTCTCAGCAGTTGAAGAGCTGTCCGGCATAATATTTCAGGCGGCAAACTCCGCAGACTCTTCCTGGGAACTGTCGACGGCTGTCCAAGAGTCTTTGCAGATATTGAACCTCCAGCAGGAGGATTTGGCAGAGTTCCTGCCCCCAACGGAGACTGCGCAATCTTCTGTTGAAAAGGGTTTTGCAGTCCTGGTTGGTGACATGAACAAATGGGTATACTGACTTTCAGGTAATGGTGCCATGTGGTGTGGAATGCATTTTTGACAGTGCCAAGGTCCGACTGAGGGCCAAAGAAGCACGCAAAAGAACCAGGAGGAACCAGAAGCGCAGAGAAGAGAAGCAGGCTGTAGCGGGGTTTAGGAGTTTAGGGGTTCTCAGTTCAAGCCTGTGGAAAAGGGGTTTATCAAGGGACGCTCTGCTGCCCATGCACTCTTTAGTATTATTTGAGACTTTGCTGGTTGTCAGGCCGCCAAAGCAAAGGACAGCGAGCTCGGCAAAGCTCCTCGCAGGACGCTCGGAACCATCGATCCACGCTTCTCCTTCACCCATCATTTTAAGGGCAGAATTGCTGTTATGCAGGTGCCGCTGTCCGCAGCGAGGCTGCGCGCTCTCGGGGTGAGGAATGCTGAGAGCTTCTCAGTTCGCAGACTTTTGTGAACCCTACTACTACCAGTAGTACGGGTAGAACGAACCTTTGCGAGGAGTGGGGGTAGGTGCGCAGACGCGCCGAGAGCTTTTTCGAGGTGTCAGGCAAGCAAGCAAGCGAGGAAGGTATAAAAAGACAAGGAAGAATGCCTGAAGAGACACCGCTGACTTGCTTGGTGCATGTGCGAGCAGAGGCTCGAAACCACAATGAGTATCGAAATGCAGACCCCCTGAACTGGGAGTTCTGAGGTTTGCCATGCGATACGAACCTTCGTGGTCGACCTCAGCCAATTTCCAACAGAGAGACTTTGCAGGTGGCCACACTACCTCACCAGTTACTTCACCACTCCCCAAAACAATTACCGAGTACCCACGCTGTGTCCGCACAAGCAAACAGAACTGACCTCACACCCGACGATCCCTTGCAAAAAGACCGGTTCATCGAAGAACAGCTGAAGGTTTCAGCTGTCCAATGGACCTACTATCAGTGCAATGTGTCGAGTCCAAGTCGTTTAGCTGTGTGGCCATGAAGATGAATGTTGCAATTGCTTTCGCGAGCGAGTCCAAGGAAAACATATCCTGTCTGTGCTTGCGAAATATGTTGCAGGCTTCAGCCCCTCGAAAGCGTGGGCGACCGAAGAAGGCCGCAGCGGAAGAGCTGCAAGTGGACTCAGGCCGGCATCCGACTGCGGGACCCCGGTGGCTTGAAGTGGACGATCTTGCTGCAGGGCCTGCGCCGGTGACTCCTCCCGAAGGCATCCTAGTTCGCAGCGAGATGCTAGACTCAACTGCGGAAAGCAGCTGATTTCTCGTGTAAGAAACCACTGTAGCATCTTCTGAGCTGTGGGTTCTTAATGAGAATCAGAAGGCCTGGTCTTGTTGAGAACCACAAGACTAAAGAGACCTGGGGTTGGGGCATAGACGGGCCGCTCCCACTTACCCGTGTGAGGCAGGACTCGTGACTGCCTGCCCCCACCTTTCGTCGCCTCACCGAATAGCAAGAGCAGCAGCAGCAGCAGCAGCAGCAGCAGCAGCGACGGCACGACAAAACCGGACCCCATTTCCCCATTTACAACCGCCTGGTGACCAGCCACAAGCCGCTGACATCGCTGACACTTTCTGCTGTTTGCCAAGTTCGAGACCCAGCAGCACTGGCTTCAGAAGTGCCCGCATGGTTCTTACATGTTTCTGCTGGTGCCTTGCATCCAGCACTTGCTCGTCATTCAAGTACACGTTCTCCTCGGCGCTTCTGTCCGTCAAGGGGAGAGAGAGAGAGAGAGAGAGAGAGAGAGAGAGAGAGAGAGGGAGAGAGAGAGCGAGGGAGGGAGGGGGGGGGGGAGGGAGGGAGGG